AGAGCCTATGGTTGAATTGATAAATCGAAACATGCACATTCATGCATTCATTGGGAAAGAGAAAGAAAATATATATATATATATATATATATATATTTTGAACAAACGAAATTATTTTGGGGAAAATATTTTTTTTAAAGGAGTTTGCGAAAACCGGACGCCTAGGAGGCGCCTAGTGGTCCGTGGTGTTAGTGTAGTCTAGAAGGGATCATGGTTGAGCTAACTAGGCCGGATGCGACGCCTTGGAGGTGCCTTGTGGTCGTGGATAGTTAGTCAACCCTCCATTCGTAACGCCTTGGAGGTGCCTTGGGTCGGATTATACTAACGGTTTTGGAAGTTGAAACGGAAATGTTTCGGAAAATGGGGAGTAACATTTGCATATTGCACTTCATGACATTGTGGTAAACTTGTGATTGGGTGGTATTTATTACATACTTGTTATTATATTTGAGAGTGTGTGTTTCCTTATAGCATAATCCCTTTCATTTTTTTTTATTTTATCTATTCATTGTATGGATTCACGGGGATATAAGAAGTGTGTCTTAGACACTTCCTACTGAGCTTATGCTCACCCCATTATTTCTAACATTTTTCAGGACATGGAAAAGAGGTGGTGGACGACGATCCACCACGATTTTAGACGAGTACGGAGACCTATTTTATTTTATTTTTGCTATCTTTTGTATTAAAACTCTTTAATATTTTGTAAATGTATTATTAACTAACTCATAAAACTTTAGTTTAATTAGTATAATGTTGTAAGCCATGGACTTTTAAATTCTAACTACGCTTTTTGGACTGTAACTTGATGTAACCAAAGTATGTTCCTTGTTGGATGAGATGGAGGAATGGGATTTTGTATGTATGTAGTCACTTTGGAGATGTGATATAATATATGTATATTGCGTTGGGACATGATATGTTAGATTTAAGGCCCAGTGAGGCCATTGTATTTATTTTTTTTGTATTTCAACAGGTTGTTTAGAGACATTTTTTGCGAAAGTCATGCCGAAATTTTTATAGATTTTTATTATTATTTTGGTATCCATTTGGGTCGTTACAAAAGGTGTCTAGTAAAAGGGATCTACAATAAATGAAAACATTCACTTTAGATGAAAGATTTAAAGGTTTACTCAGACCTTTGATGTAAGTATTCAATCTGTTAATTGAATGATACATCATATTTTTATTTTTGCATAAAACTTGTTTCTATGTGATGAATCAAAATCTATGAATTTAAATCCCTCGAAAAGTTTTTAAAACTAGCACATTTCCCAACATGATCAACCTCCACTTCTTTCTTCTTAGCTTTTCGTCTTTGTTTCTTAGAAGTCCCCCCAGACGATGTCTCATCTAAGGTATTATCAGAAGAGACACTTATTTCACTTAAATGCATCACATTACTCTCTTCCTCTTGATCTTCTTTTTCAACTGCCACAATATTTCCTTCAATCTCCTTTGCGGGCTCCTCTTGTGACAGTTTTTCATTATCTTTGGCCAAGATATTTACTTCCTTTACAGTCTCCACTGGTGATCCTCTTTCATAACCTTCATCAAGCAGTTGGAATGCATTAGTAGTTACTGTGTGGGCATAACTCTCACCTCTTACTCTGTTGCCTTTAATCTGGAAGTAGTCGTGACCTGAGTGAAACTATCCCCATCAACCAGAACTGTTTACCACTTTCCTGTTGCAATGACAGATCTACCTCTTTCAATGAACCATCCACAGCCAAGTCCTTTTCTGTAGCATGTTCTATTATCGCTGCAGTATCAGGCTTATTTTTTACCACCCATTGTCTAATGGTCTTTGGTTTCGTAACTTTGTTTTTTGGACATACCTTCTCATAGTGATCAATCTCTTGCAATTCTTACAATAAACTGGCTTCCAATCATACTCCACTTGTAGCTTACATTGACAGTCATGCAACTTTGTGTTTATAGTGTCTGGAAAACCTTCCGTGACCTCCATCTCAGCCAACACTCTCACATATAATCCCCTCTCTCTGCATAGTTTAATGTCATCCATGAACAATGGTTTCAGGAATTACGTTTGTTAAGCTTGTACTCAAGTAATCGTGTTTGTAGTCTGAAATTATAGCATAAATTTATCAAATTTTATATATGAAAATTAATTTAAATATACTTTTTATACATTAAAATTTAATTTTTAAAATGTTTTATTTCGGTAAAGAAATTTATTCATTTGGATGAAAAGTATAAAATGATAAGGGGGTCGAAGGTAACCTTGAAAAAACTAATCTAACGTTAGATTTTCTAAAACTTCTCTCAAATTTCTTGAGTCATCATGTGTTTAGGTCACCCCTAAAAATAAATTGAAAAAAAAAAAAAAAAAATTTGTTTGAGAAGGTAATGTAGCGATAAACACTGTGAAGATGACTGGAAGAAGGTGGGTATATACAAATAGAAATATATATATACACACGCAATTACATATATGTTAGTAATAATAGATCATAAATATTCAAAGATTTTTTTCTACAAATTTCTTAATAGATTTAGATATTACTCAATGATCTGATTTTAAAAATTACATGATCATCTTGTATTCGAATCACGCACAAAAATTCTGAAGTATTCACAACATCACTATTTGATTCGGGATTGACTCTTTCTCTCTATATAGGGTTTTGAATAAGTTTTATTCTCCCGCAGGAATTCAATCAGTACAGTGATTTAATTTGATATATCTAGCCAATGTAAATTCTAAAATACATCAAAAAAATTCTAAAAGATACTACATAACACGATAAAGATTCTCTAATTTTGGAGACTTCTGAGTTTTCCGGTTTTCTTTTTTCACGATCACCTTCCCACCCACCTTTTCTTTTTTTCTTTTTTCTTTTTTTTTTTTCTAAGGTGAGGTCACGTTAGATTCGGTGATTAATTCGGGGGATACCTTTCAGTTCCCCTATCAATGCTCATAATAAAATGACAAGAAAAAACTTAAAAATAAAAAACTTAAAAAAATGGTCATTGTCATTATTTTTTGTTTTAATCTCATATAAATAGGGGCACATGAATTTTTTCCCTTTAATCTTTTCTATTGCATGGCTTTCGCCCCTACTATATTTAATTTTGTACTATGGTGTTACACTCAATATTTCTCTCACACTCTTGACATTATCTATTCCAGTTACTCTATTCATTTACATTAATATTTTCATTTCCTCTACATGAATTCTTGTTCCTTTTATAGTGACAAACACTCTTTCCTATACAAAATAGTTGGTATAATAACAATTATATCGTTATTCACCTCTCCATCTTTTATTATTAAGTTCTCTTTAGAGGTATCAAAGAGCACGATATCATCGGAAACATCACACCATAGAATCTCGTCTTTTGTTAGCAAATGGATAGGTATAGACTTAGCACCAATTCAACATTATGATGAACTCGTTAAGACATTTTTTTTTTCTTTGTAGTCCACCAAATTCTTTAGGAACCCTATCATGCGCTTTTTCAAAGTCCATAAAAATCATATGTAAGTTTTGTTACATTGTTGATCTCCCTTTCCAAATTGGTTATTGGATATTATGGCCCTCTTTCTTAGTTTTTTGTTCTTTAACACTTTCCCATTTTTTTCATTTTATGACTTAGTAATTTAATTTCCCTATATCGTCACAATTTTATGTATCTATTTTATTTTTGTAAGGTGGTACAGCTTAAAAATTGGTACATTTAGAAATATTTTGTTAATATTTATCGAAAGTGGAACTTTACTATTTTTTAATAAAATTTGTTCGAACTTAGTAGTCTTTTAATTGTAAATTATATGACTTATTGTAATATATTTTTCAATTCAATCATCTTTTATATTGAATTCTGCATTTACCAAGTACCAACAATAAGAATTACATTTTAAGTGGCAGTTTTGGATAGACTGTTATGGCTGTGAAATCTACATTGCCTTTAGTAATCTTATGTTCTAAATAAAAAGATGAAAGCATTACTACATGAATTCAAGTAAATAATAGGAAACCAAAGTATTTAATCATCATCATCACACACACTATTCAGTTACATGAAATTTTTATTTTTTTCAATATTTTCAAAGTACGTAATTTCTCCTATGAGAAGAACATATTTTAACCTTTCAAAAAAAAAAAAAAAAAAAACATATATAATTTTGTTAATTTGATTTGTATAAAAATGCACATCAGATCTCTATCTTCAAATAAAAACAAAATACAATATTAATATTTTTACTTTAAATCAACAAAATAAAAAAATTGGCATACTAAAAACATACCAATGCATTCAAGAAAGTTGTTAAAAATGATATACTTTTATAGAGAATTACATTAAAGAGTGTGACTCTTGAGATATTATCTAAAGCCTAATAAAGATCTACAATAGATAAGGAGGTGGGAGTTGTTTATGAATAAACTGATAAAGAAAATTATGTGCAAAATGCAGAGTAAGAAATCATAAAATTTTACCTTAAAAACTATGTACTGACTTCTAAAACTTTGCCAAGAAAAAATAAATATAAAATTAAAAAAAAAATACATGAAATTCCTATTAAAGTAAAGTGAAGTCGTTTTTTTATTTTTATTTTTTTAATACTTGAAATTCCTGTAAATCAGTTGATTAATTAATTTATTAATGAAATTCATGTTAACCCCAGCCCCAATAAATGTGTGGGTGATTGTACCGAACATGCAGAGGAATTTTTTTGGTACTGCATGTACCTATTTATTCCCATTGTTTTATGTTGGTCAAATATAACTTAACTCAAACGTTTAGTCAAACCAAAATCTCCACCCAAACAAGTCGGACCACTTTTCATTTCACTTCGTTACAAACCTTTCTCAAACTCGGGATTTTTCATTTGATGAATTTTTACATACCTACATATAATATTATAATATAATATATGACCAGTATCATTTAGAAGCATCGCTCAAAATTAAATAAAATATAAATCTTTATATTTCTCGATCATGCATTATTATGATCTTACAGATTTTTGCCAACTGTTGAGTTGGACAGAGCAAAGTACACTCACTAGTATGAAAAGCACCCACAAACCACAAAAAAGTCGAAACAAACCCTCCTTCAATAGAGCACAAACACACACTATCAATTTTCGTCTGTTCTAAATCAAAAATCCATCTCTAGAAGCGACCAAAAAAAACCCCTTTCAATTCCTTTCAGAAAGCCGGTCATGGTTTGAACAGAATTCAAATCCCCAGATGGGCTCAACTCCAGCTGCTGCTGCCAAATCCTTCTCTCTCCTCTTTCTCTCTCTAACTTTCTTCACCATCCTTGTGTCCTCCGCAGATTACACAAAATTGGTGTACAGGGGCTGTGCAGACCAAAAATTTCAGGACCCAAGTGGAATTTACTCACAAACCCTCAAAACCCTTTTTGATACACTGGTCTCCCAGTCATCCACCGCCAAATTCTTCAATACCACCACCGGTGAAGGCCAATCAGCCATTCTTGGGCTGTTTCAATGCAGAGGTGACCTCTCAAATGATGATTGCAACAACTGTGTGAAAAAGCTTCCGGATATGTCCCAAAAACTGTGTGGAAAAACAATCGCTGCTAGGGTCCAACTCATTGGGTGTTACATGAGGTATGAGACTGTTGGGTTCAAGCAGGTCCCCGGGACTGAGTTGCTGTACAAGGTGTGCGGGTCGACTCAGGCGAGTGGGACTGGGTTTGATCAGAGGCTGGACACGGCACTTGGGGAGATAGAGACGGGTGTGGAGAATGGTAATGGGTTTTACGCGGGTAGCTATGAGTCGGTGTATGTGTTGGGTCAGTGTCAAGGGGATTTGAGCAGCGGTGATTGTGTGGATTGTGTGAAGAGTGCTGTGGAGACAGCTCAAAGTGACTGTGGTACCTCAGTTTCTGCTCAAGTATATCTTCAGGACTGCTATATTAGCTATACCTACTATCCAAATGGGGTGCCTACCAAATCACTGTCAGGTAATTTTTTACTTATATACATACATACATGCATACATACATATATATATATATACACACACACGTATGTGTGTGTGTGTGGTTTTCCTTTTATGTGTACAAATCCTTGCCTTATTCTGGTAAGAATGGACCTACTTCATAAATTTTTTGTCTCGGACCTAATTCGCCATTATTGCATTCTCGAAACCGAAGGGGTAGGCCACAGGAATTTTTCTTTGGTGGGCCACTATTTGATTGTATAATGTTATTTATACCCATTTTTAAGCAAGTTGTGTAATCTGTTTATGCTGTGAATGTAACCCACAGTTGAGTTTATCAGCCAAATCGTAGGATAAAAATCCCATAATGAATGTGTGTTTAAATTAATACTTCAAATTATATACTATTAAACACTCTTTGATTGATTGTCACAGCCGTCGGTAACAAAATGATCTGCAAAATTATCTTTTCCGTAGTTAGTTGTGATGTGAAAAAGAGAGGTGGCCCGCTTTATAATTATATATATTTAGATATATGGTAATAAAAATATATGGTCCAAATTATAGTGGGTGGTGTGTGTTTGATTGGTGTAGGGACAGGAGGGTCAAATACAAATACAAATACAAAGAAGACAGTGGCTATAGTTGTGGGAGGGGTAGCAAGTTTGGGGTTTGGAATTGCATGTTTGTTGTTTATTAAATCAGTGTTTAAGAGACGAGAAGGCAAGTATGGTCCGTATTGATGATGATGAGGTTAGTTTCTTACATTTTACTCTAGTAATTACTTTCCTTTGAAACACTTGTTTTTTACTGCATGAGTGATTTGTAAAAGCTTAATGTTCGAACATAAATGGTTTGATGTAGGTGGTCACTAAGAAGATTGCAAAGTCTTTGTCTGAACGGGGATTCAAAAAGAGACGGATTTGATTGGGGGAGTGTAAAGAGAAAAGAGGGTACGTACGTGGTGGAGAGAAGTTTTGCTTTTTAACTTGTCAGATTTTTCTCCTTTCAAGTTTCTTTTTCTTTGAAACCAAACAACTCCCTGTCACATGCATATAAAATAGTCGTAGTTTGGCAGTTGGGCCCTTGTTTTGAATGTACATGCACAAATTGAAAATTGATATATATATATATATATATATATATATATATATATATATATATATACTGATTTTACTTTACATCAAAAGCATATTTGTTTCTCCACTTTACCACCATGAAGAACAATAATGTTGCAACAATTAGCAACAACAAAAACCAATCATTGGTAATTTGGCTGGTGGGATAAATTAACACTCTAAATTACAATTTCTTTTCCTATGTTTTTTTCTCTTGGCGACACATTTCATTTGTTTTCTCAATCAAATCCCAACATAATCACTGTCCAATATAGGACGGTGAATTGTTAATTAAACACCCGTTGGTAGTACGTAATTAGTATAAATAACTACACTCTCTACCACATATATGTATATAATATTAAATTAAAAGTTATAATTATTATTTAATATTAAATTATAAAAATTCTCTTTATAATAATAGTATTATTTAATATTAGTAGAGTTATTATCTCACGATGACCTATTTCTCGCCCCTAGTATTATTTTTATAATTTTAAAATAATAATTATAATTTTTAATTTAATATTAAATAGTAAGGTTAAATTTGACATTTCATAACTTATTTAAGGGGTCTGTCACGGATTTAGAGGTAACTTGATAAGCTTCTAATTTGACATTTCATAACTTATTTAATGAGTCTATCACGGATTTAGAGATAAATTGATAAGGGCCTGTTTGGGAAGTGTTGTGTGGTGTAGTGTAATGCTCTAGCCTAGAACAGAACAAGTGTTTTGTGATGTAGTGTTCTGAAATGAGAATAAAACATGTTTGGGATGAAAATTTAGAGTGAAAATTTTGGAATAGAAATTATTATTATTATTATTTTGATGATTAAAATAAATTAATTACAGAGCTTGATTAGTTTGCAAAACAAGAATTACAGAGCTTGATTAGTTGATTTGAGAAAAAAAAAAATTAAAACAAAACCCATACAAACAGAATTGCAGTTGGAGAGAGAGAGAGACTAGGGCAATTGGGAGGCTGAAATGATTTGCCCTAAAAATGGATTTGCAGAGTTGAGAACGAGAATAGAGATGGAGGTGTTTGGGAGGCTGAAATGATTTCCCCAAAAAAAAATTAAAACAAAACCCATACAAGTTTGCAGTTGCAGAGAGAGAGAGAGAGCGAGAATAGAGATGGAGGCGTCTGGGAGGCTGAAATGATTTGCCCTAAAAAAAATTAAAACAAAACCCATAAACACAAACAAAACCCATACAAACAAGAATTACAAAGCTTACAAACGGCGAACTAGAACTGGAGCAGCAGACCCATACACACAATCTGAAAAAAAATTAAAACAAAACCCATACACACAATCTAAAACAAAACCCATACACACAATCAAAACCCATACAAACAAGAATTACAAAGCTTGCGAACGAAGAACCCTGGAACAGCGGGCGATGGAAACTAAAAGATATGAGTTTTGATTTTTTGAACAATCTGAAATGATATGCCGATATGGGTTTTCAACTTTACATATCTGAAGATTTTGTAGATTTTGAAATTTTAATTCTTACAGATTTTGTAGTTTGCAATTGTAAAGAGAAAGAGAAAGAGAGCGGGGGGGGGACGAGAATACAGATAGAGGCGGGTTTTGAACTTCTGATCCATGTAGATTTTGTGTTTGCAGTTGGAGAGAGAAAGAGATAGAGCAAGTTCTAGAGTTGAGAAAGAGAATAGAGACGGAGGCGATTGGGAGGCTGAAATGATTTGCCCTAAAAAAAATTTATTATTAACAAGGCGGACCAAACATGTGTTCTGAAAATGGGTACTGTAGCACTGTAGGGAACAACACATAAAATGGTAGAATATACACCAAACAGGCCCTAAATTTCTAATATATATATATATATGGTCATGGTCTATACCAAACTGTCACGGAATTAAAACGATATTAACATATTTAGATACATTTACTTGCGTAACAGTATATTATTGGTCTGAATCATCTAGTTCCGGATATATATATATATATATATATATATATATATATATATATATATTACATGGTCATGGTCTATACCAAATTGTCACACAATTAAAACGATATTAACATATTTAGATACATTTACTTGTGTAACAGTATATTATTGGTTTGAATCATCTAGTTCCGGACCCTATTGAGTATTATATTATATATATATATATATATGGTCATGGTCTATACCAAACTGTCACACAATTAAAACGATATTAACATATTTAGATACATTTACTTGTGTAACAGTATATTATTGGTATGAATCATCTAGTTCGGGACCCTATTGAGTATTATATTATGATGGATTCTACTAATAATGGCACTATATTGTAATAAAATTGGGAGTTGCTCACTTTTGAAAGAAAGTGACATTAGTGCTTTGTTAAAAAATAAAATAAAATGCACTTACAGGAATGGAAAGCGTGAATATCAACTCAAGTATGATGTTCTCCAAACAATTTAGTAGTTGTTCAGTTGCATCCATACAAGTTATGATGAGGCTTTTTTGGCTCATTGGATTACTTTCAAATTGTCAATTGAAATTTTTTCCTTTTTGCTATTTGCAGAACAACTTCAATTGGGCAATGTGATAATGGCACTCCATTTTTGTTAATATTTTTTTAATAAATTGAGTAACAATTGTGTGTACTTTTTTATGGAGCGTGAGAGTTTTTTTTTAAGGACTCTGTTACTTCAATTTTTTATACTTTTAATATTTTTAATACATGTGAGTGTAGAGTGCAAGAGCTCTGAATATTAATTTTCTTTTTGTTTTTGGCAATACAAAAGTGCTGTTGTCAACAATTATAGGGTTGTTTTCTTACCTGTCCTGGCTGTCCATTACTTCGCCAATAATCTTTTTTATTTTTATAAAGTCAATAATTAATATTTTTTTAACAATAGGAACACATCTTTCTCCTTCTTCTTTTTCTCGTTGGAGAGTAGTATGAGTCAGATGTCAGAGGAGAAGTATGGATCTAATACCGTTTTAGCTTTTCCGGTTTCATTTCTTAACAATTGTCTATTTTCTTTTCAAACTTTGGGCTGTTGAATATATAAAGCACGAGACAGCTTGCAAGGCCCAGCAAATGGACCCAACGGTTAGGACCTACTACTTTTACATCGCTTCGTGAACATATTACGGAGTAACATTGTAACAATAATTTAAGGAAAGTTGCACTGACAATTATTGAGGTTCGGTCAATGACACTTAGCTAATGGTCAACGGCTCTGTTTATATTGACGTCTCCTAAAATTTCAAAATTATACATTCACACCCCTTCTTGGCATAGAAAAAGACCTAAATATCCTTTGACTAGTTAACAATTATTTTTAAATCATGAAATTACCTAAATGCCCTTTCTAAATACTTATATACAACTATCTATTATATATGTCCATATACAATATATATATGTATTTACAGTCACGGACCTAGAAATTTTTGTAAGGGGTGACAGTCTTTTAATTTGTGGGGGCTTTTGTAATTTAAATGAAATTTTTTTGCATAAATTTTTAAACATTTAAAGTATAAAATGTAAAAAATAAAATTAAAAAATAGTGGTGGCGAATTGTAATTTTAGTAGGGGCATTTTCATAAATTCTTAAAAATTTAAAATATAAAATGCAAATATATATATATATATATATATATATATTTATTTATTTAGTGGGGGCGAATTGTAATTTTAGTGGGGCCATTTTCATAATTTTTTTTTAAAAAATTGAGATATAAAATAAAAATATAAAAAATTCATGCCCCCATTGGTCCCATGTTGGGTCCGTACACACACACATATATATATACATGTATTAGCAAGGTGGTTGGCGGCGACAATGATGGTTCGTGACGGCTCTCTTTCTCCCTTATCATCTACTCTGGTGTTGGAGGGAGAAGTACTTATTTATTTATTATTATTATTGATTTAGCCAAGTACTCTCTTGAAGAATCCTGACCTTCCTTTTTCAATCAAAATTTGTTTTGAGCAAGTTGAAATATCAGCTACAATTCATTGCCACCGTTGCTATTATTGCCCATAAAATCAAACTAACCGCCAAGGCTATGATTTTTAGAAAAACCTTGCACGCATTGGGGTCAAGTCCACAAAAGAAGCCGAACAAAAGGTGATAGGGGAGTTATTTTTGTCATTTAACATGCTTGATATTTTTTTTTATAAAATTAAATTAAAAATTTGGGGGCATTTATGACCTTTAAAATCTTAGGGGTTGTCAATGTAAATAGAGTTGTTGACCAGCCGTTAAGTAACGTTGACCGAAACTTTAAGGATGTCAGTATAAATTACTCATACTTTAATAATTGGAGACTGTATTGACATTCATTTATGTTGACATGTTTGTATTTATGTCTTCGTATATCTATTTATGTTTCATTATAAATTTATCTATTTGATCCGTTGATGTTTGAATATAGAAAATGCAAACCTGAATGGCACACAAATGGCAGGAAACAACATCATAAACAACCAAAATTTAAGAATCAATAGCATTGCAAGAAAGCAACACGGGTATAAGGTAATTCTCATATAATTAGAATCAAAGGGACCATTTTTTAAATTCTCATTACGCATCCTCTGTAGGTATAATTATAATTCTCATAATATCATATTATAATATGTCTATACTATATTTTTTTTACTATAGTAATTCTCGTTTAAATGGAGTATACACTTTTAAAAAAATAATATAGCAATTGGTCTTGATACCATAATTGTATAGACATGTTTGAAAATGTAAGAATCGTATGGCTAACAAATTTATTTTACACAGTTCTAACAGATAACAACATGATGCCAAATAAGTGAAAGGAATCAAAGGATTTTTTCATTTTCAAAGAGGAGAGGGGCGATCGAGTCTCGACTTGGGCAAAAAATATGTATTTGTGTGTTTACTTTACCATTCATAAAATAAAATAAGGGAGGCTATATATGCACCCCACTTTTTAGCATTTGCACTATAATCTTAAATGAAATGACAATTCTAACCTTAGCTTTATAAATAATTATTAGTTTTTAAATGACAGAACTATCATTTCAGATTTTCTCTCCTGATCTCTACTCTTTAATATTTAAAGTATCTTTTGACAACATAAATAAAATAGGGATAATTATACTGACCTTCCTTGAAGTTTCGTTAATATACATTGACCTCCCCTCATGTTTGCCAAATAACACTTACCTCCGTCGAAGTTTATATATTGATAACACTGACATTCCCTGCCGTTCAACAATTAACTATTTAGGCTTATGTCCATCAAAAAAAAAATTAGTACAAAGGCAATTTTACCCTTCTAATACATGAAATGACATTTTTAACTTCAATAATCACTGCAAATTTACAATACTATCCTTGACTTATAAACTCAAAAGGACAATGGTGCCCTCGTATCAACGACACCCAATGGGTCTAAACTGCAGCCACGAAATTTACCAGAGAGACCAACGGCGACTATTTTACTGGTGAGAAACGAGAGCAAGGAAAGATGGGTCAGCGACCAAATAGACAAGAACAGTATGAAACCCAGTTCGGCGAACAAACTACAACTCCGGTGACAACAAAATCGTTGTCTTTTGAGACCTTCCTTGGTTTCGGTGACAGCAAAATCCAGTTCAGACTGAACCACATCGGAACCAAAATTTTGTAGACAAAGAAATATAGATACACACCCAGAGAGAGCGCTTAGCTTTTGATAAGGGCAACAATGGTTGCTGGGGAGGTAAAACTCGTAATGGGTAGTCTGTGATGGTGCTGGGAAGCTTCGTCGAGATGGGTCTTGAAGGTTGGTTGATGCATAAGATGATGCCGGAATCTCGCTGGAACTGGGTTTCGCCGAGCAAGCTACAACAATAATAGTCGCGATTCCGGAGATCAAACAAGAACGGGGCGAGCAATGATGAACAGCGGTAAAGGAGTTTACCAGCTAGGACAAACCGCGACATGGAGAACTCACCAGCGAGGAATGAAGAATCCATCAGCAAGTTGTCTTTCGGGTGCACTCCTCGATGGCAAAGGTTCATGCAACGAGTTCGCCGGAGATATTGTTCGAAGCTTTGCATACTCACACTTAGATTAGTGGAGCTTTGCATACTCACACTCACAATCTGACCCATTGTCGTTATCCGTCGCCGCAACTGTTGTGCTTGCCGTCGTTGGTCACCATCATCGGCCGTCATCCAAGCACACTGACGGTTACCATTATCGGCGGTCTCGTCATCCTTGCCGACCATTTAGTTATTCTAAGCTCGCCGCTACCAAGCCGAAAAGTTCCATTGTCGTAAAATCCTTGATAGCCGGTAAGTTCTCTTACCGTCGACAGTACAGACCGCTTGGGTCATCACAAATAAAGCACAGTCCCAACATCTGCAAATCAGTCGCTTGTTCCCCGGGACAGTTCCTTCTAGCTTCACCAGGGTTTAGTTAGTCCATGCTCGTCGGTAAAGATATCTTCCTTCGCCATCGGTACGAACAGCCCCTATCATCGCCGTCGTTCCGTGTGTTTGACGGTACACTCCGTCGTCGAGTACATCAATGTCCATGTTCTTTTCCGTTGACACCACTCGTCTCCAGCACAGGCCCACTACCAAGGTGGGAACATATAAGAAACAACATTGGGAGATAAAGCATGGTTGTCGGGGAGCCGTCGGGGACAGAGGAGAGAAAGAGTGGGCTCGTCCACAATGGCAAGGCCGTGGGAAAGGAGAAGGAAAAAAAATTCTTAAAAAGGGTACCATTGGTATTTTACATCCATGATATTTTATATTTTTTATAATAAATTAATAAGTAAGGTTAAATTAGTACTTTTATTCTTTCCGTTGGGAGATCAGTGTTATTTGACAAACAAGAGGGGAGATCAGTGTATAATGACAAAACCTCAAGGGAGAGGTAAGTGTAATTTACCCAATAAAATAAAATAAAAATTGATTTTTTTTTTAAGGGACCAAATTTTTTTATTTTTTTTTAAGTTGAAAAAATTGCCTCTTTTTACTGGTTCAAAAAAATAAAAAGTAACCATTAAAAAAATTCTCTCTTTTGACATGAAAAAAAAAAAAATAACCATCAAAAAAATATATTTATTGAAGAAATTATCTTTGTTGTCAAGATCCAAAAAAAAAAAAATTACAAAAGGAAGTTGATTAATTTTTTTTTTTATATCTCTATTGAATAAATTATCTCTTTTAATAAGACAAAAAAAAAAAAAAAAAAAAAAAAAGAGTTTATTTTTATGTAATAAATTATTTATTTTGACTTATAAAAAAAAATTACCTCTTTTGACAGGAATATTGAAAAAAGTTAATTTTGTTAAAATTGTATAAAGGATAGTTATGTGATGATAAATTAAGGAATTGCGCATTAATGAATTCAAGGTCTTTCTTGTCATTTAAAAAAAAAAATGATAAATAGAGTGTAATTAGAGAAAAGTGGAGTGCAAATATCGTCTCCCTAAAATAATTGAAATAAAATTACAACATTGCCACTTTATAAAAATAAAAGAGCAATTATCAAGAAATTAAATTAATAAATCATAAAATGATAAAATGAAATTATAGAAAGTGTAATAAATCATGGAAAGTGTGATGTACGCATGGTTGACATTGATTTATATAAAGAATATGGAAAAATATATCAGTGGGATTTACAAAAATAAAAATAAATTCTTATATAAATGATAAAGATTATATATGTGGTGCAACTGTTTGCACAATTTTTAGCTCTTGAAAAGTGCGAGCGTGTCAAAGTTCTTGACCCGAACTCAGGGTAAAAGCCGAACCA